TTCTTTCTTTCCCTTTTTCTTTTCCGGCCCCTTCTTTCTGCGGGACCCGATCCGAGGAGCCCTCTTGACAAAGACTGGAGGGGGGAGCGAGCACGCACTGGGGTGGGGAGGGAGGCGGGCAGGCTGTTCCCCTGTGACCATTCCTCCTCCTCCCCCTCCTCCTCCTCAAGGGTCCTCCACTGGCGGCCACAGAAACGGTCGCCATGGAAACTAGGGCTGGCGTGGGGTCCGGAGGTGCAGAGGGAGACAGAGAGAGAGACACACACACGCACACAGAGACACACAGAGAGAGACAGAGACACACACAGAGACACAGAGAGAGACACACACACATAGACACAGAGAGAGAGACAGAGAGACAGAGACACACACACAGAGAGACAGAGAGAGACACAGAGAGACAGAGACACACACACAGAGAGACAGAGACAGAGAGAGACACAGACAGAGACACACACACACACACACAGGCATTTTTTTCCAGGCCCTCGAGTCGCACAAAATCCCCGCCTGGGCCCAGAGCAGGCGGCGGGCCCGTCCGTATCTGTCGTTATTCGAGAATAAATGGCCAGTCAGAGTCCCGGACGTCGGCCTCACCGCTCGGAAGCCCCCTCGCACGTTCATGGGGCCGCGGAGAAGGTCATCCTCCCTGACCCCCGCCTCCCCCAGGTGCCCCGGGGGGCGGGTCCCTCGCTCAGATTCACCCGGGCAGGTGGCCACAGTGAAATGCAAGTCCCGCAGCCACTCAGACTCCCGGGAGCGAGGCACCTTGTTGTTGTTTTTGTTTTTTTAATCCTCACCGGAGGATATTTCCCCACTGATTTTTAGAGAGAGTGGGAGAGAGAGAGAGAAAGACAGAGAGAAACATCCATGTGAGAGAGACACACTGATTTGTTGCCTCCTGCAGGCACCCTGACCAGGGCCCGGGCTGGGGAGGAGTCTGCAACCGAGGTTCGAGCCCTTGACCTGAATCGGACCCAGGACCCTTCAGGCCACGGGCCGATGCTCTACCCACTGAGCCACACCGGCCAGGGCCTCCACCGGGTTTTCACGTGGAGGGAGCAGCAAGCCTGGCGGGTCCCAGCCCAGGATCCGACCCCAGAGACTCCAGTGGCACCTGGACCTCCCCTGGGACAGGGGGTGCCTGGGGCGCAGCCGGGGGCAGCCTCGCCCAGGGCGGAGCGGG